TGTGTGTGTGTGTGTGTGTGTCTGTCTGTCTGTCTGTCTGTCTGTTCCTAGCAAAAACATTTCTGTCTTTATGGAGCTTCGAGAACAGCATCACATGGGGAGGGGTAAGGAATGTGATTCTTTACAGAAATCTTTAAGGGAGTTTTACAAAGGATTAAGGCACTGGTTCCAACTGACCTCAACTAATCAAGGTAACAAACAATATTACAAACATCACTGCTTATCAACCTACAAAAGCATATTCATTTTAGGAGGTTGCTTTTAGACTATGTGTTTGATGGTTGTAGCAAATGATACATATACATAATCTGGATCAAGGGCATAGAAAAGTATTTATTTTAAGATTTCACCTATGCATTACTCTAGGTTGTAAAAGTTAATTCTGTTGGAAATTCAAGGCAAATAATATATATTCGTACATTGGTCTCTTACAAAGAAGGTTAAACAAACAGAGTATACATAGGATAGCAGTCTTAAATCTTTAGTGACCTCAAGGTGTATTATGAACTTTGGCTGTAAGGCCCAGCAAAAGTTTCAGTCTGTTATACTACAATAAGTATTTCCATAATGTTGTATTGCTGTATATATAGTTCTGCTGATGGGCCAGAATAACCCTCAGAGCACCATTCCATGCAGCACTGTTGTCATTCTCAAATAATTCTAAGGAAAAACAGAATCACAAAGGGCTGTTTTAGAAAATAAGGAATTTAATGAGGACCCTTTAAAATGAAAATACTCAAAACTAAGTGATGAGTTTACTCAACTTGGGAGGAAATACATTTTTGTGTCTTCTAAGCAATGTTTTTCTTAGGAAGTTCTCAATAGACTTTCATTCATAAATATGACTGAAGTACATCAAACCATTACTGAATGTTCCTTAGCTGATCATAGAAATCTTATTTCAGACCGGGAATTTCAGTCTTGTACATGTTGTGTGTGACATGTGAGCAAACACCACAGAATTTGCATTAGGAGGTAAGGAAATGTTGAGATACTGAAATTCTGGGCAGGATTAGAATGCCTCCCTGATACCAGCCAAGGATTCAGCCTGAACTAAAGCAACAGCCTCGGATGTGGGACTTTAAAAAGGTCATTCCAAATAGTGCAGGAAGAAGCACTCTTTTGTGTTCATTTGTGAGAGTGTTTGTTTTGCTTTTGTTTTCTAATAAAGGCTAACATTTTTGTGTAGAAAATGAATGTTTCCTAGACAGTGAATCATGAGAGTCTAGCCTTGAGGTCAATGAGGTCAATACTGATACAGCAGTTTGGAGAATGTCTGTCACTGATACATAAGTTTGTACCACCATTTCATCCTGTCTTCTGCACATCTGCTGCTCTTATATTCTGTCTTTCCTTATGCTATATTAATGAAACCATCTGACTTGGGGCTAAAATCCTGAAACACCGAGCCCAAATTATCTTCCTTTCCTTAGATAATTTCTTAATTACTTTCTCAAAGAAAAGAAAGCTCATTAAACCAACACCTATTGTGAATTTACATTTTTTATTCTCTATTATATGATCCATTTTAAGATAAACACAAGATATTATTATAATGTCTTAAAAATGTCTTACAAATAATTTTATTCCTGGATCAGTTGGGTTTGAAGCAAAGCAAAATACTGACTGAAGATTTGAAAATAAACACTTGTCTTAGTTAAGGTTTTACTGCTGTGACCAGACAGCATGACCAAGGCAACTCTTATAAGGACAACATTTGATTGGGGCTGGCCTACAGGTTCCAAGGTTCATTATCATCAAGGCAGGAACATGGCAGCATCCAGGCAGGCATGGTGCAGGAGGAGCTAAGAGTTCTACATCTTCATCTGAAGGCTGCTAGCAGAATACAGGCAGCTAGGACAAGGACCTGTAAGCCCACACCCACAGTGGCACACTTACCCCAACAAGGCCACAACCTCTAAGTAGTGCCACTCCCTAGGCCAAGCATATATAAACCATCACATTCCACTCCCTGGTCCCCATAAGGCTGTTCAAACATATGAGTCTCTGAGGGACATACCTAAACATAGCATAATGAAAAATACAGTTAGTCTAACTTCAGAAGTCCCCATAGTCTGTAGCAGTCTCAACAATGTCAGCAGTCCAAAGTTCAAAGTCTCTTTGGAGATTCATCCAATCACTTAACTGTAATTCCCAAAGCAAGACAGGAAACCAGTTGGGCAAACTCCAAACTCTGCATCTCCATGGCTGACATCAAAGCAGTCTTCAGATCTCTAACTCGTTTTTCATCTTTGTTGACTGGAACAAACTTCTTTCTCCTGAGCTGGTTCCACTTAGCAGCTTTCTTCAGCAGATATCCTATGGCTCTGGCATCTCCAACATCTTGGGGTCTCCAAGGCAAGTTCAATGATACAGCTGCTTGTTTC